AAGGTTCATCTGCAAACTTTGGAATGATTCTCAACAAACAGAAGAGGCTGTTTTCATGCTGGAATAAAACACGTAAGGTTTACTTATAAGTTCTTGGCATTGTGTTATTTTCGTGTATGTGTGTGTGTGTAAGTGTGTGTGTGTGACAAAGAACATTTTTAAGTGCAGTAAGACGACAAAGATGACATCTGTGATTTTCAGCTAACAGAAGCCAACATCAAATTTTAGATCAATTTGCTTCCCTAATTTTTCTAACTCAATAAAAGAGTTCAAAATTAAATTTTGACCAAACTTTGAAAGTAACTGGGCCCTAGCAATCATATTTACAACGGAGTAGCTTTTTGCATAGAAGTCTTATCTTCGTTTTACCTGTTTTCACTTGGCCTTTTGATTAATTTGGTTTGTACTAGGTGAATAGGTAGTTTTTCTCATGGTACTACCTGTAGCTTTCCTTAGGATAGATTATGTGACATTTTTATTACTTCTGTCACTTAACCACAGTAGCTTTTTCATTTTCATTTATGATAGGTTTTGTAAATGTCAAATTCCTTGTTAAAGAGTCAGACTTGACATTCCAAAAGGCAAAGGATGATATAAGTAATATTCAAGTATACACAACTACAGTTGGAAACAGTTTCAATCACTTTCTCCCACCCTCCCAAAATCAAGGTAACCTATTTTTCAAATAATTATTTGAAAGGAAGAAATCAAGCTGCAGTAGGAAAAAAGAATGACGCAGGCTATTCTAAAATGTGATGTGTCTATCCATAATTCAAGTATAAAGACCATGAATAATCAGAGAAAACCAATGTGAAATCCATTTGCTATGACTTATAGCATACATTTAAAGTTAATTAACCCTGCCTTGAATTCCTTAGAGTTAACTTTTACAGAATTATAGAGGATTTAAAATTAGGTTTCCATCCATTTTAGAGGCAAGCTAAAAATTTTTTTTCTCTTGTTATCTCCAAGGAAATAAAATTGTTCAAGTGTATTGGTGATTAGGTTATGACTTTCATTTTCTTTCTTTACTTTCTCAATTTTTAGGAAACTATAAACTGGTAGATTCTTTAACATGCTTTCAAAGGAAAGGGGAATGACTCAGCTTCTTTATGAAGATCACTGGGTTCAGGACGCTCCTATAAATTTAGGGTTACAAACACAGTCACTTTGGGGGCCGAATGACATGCATGAGGGACATGTGTGGGGCAGGGATGAAGGCAAGCTGGGGAGTGCCTGCTCATTTACTGCATTCCAAGAAAGCACGGTCCTGCAGACCTGGGGGCATCAAAAGGACAAAAAGCCTTCTGTTATGTACAGAGAAGCCCAAAACACATTTTTTTCTAAGTATTCAATCTCCCAATTTTGAAATGTTAGCAATTATTTTTCTGAAAACATTGCCTATGGTCTGTGAGCTGCATTTGGCCTGCAAGCCACCATCTGTAAGCCAACGCTGCCCAAGAGAAGATCATATTGGGAGCTAATCCAGTAACCACAATGCCTTACAATAAGACATATAATTGTCAAATTCATTTCAAGTCTCATGTTGGCTGATCTGAGGACCATCTTTGAGAGACTGAACAAATATGAAAAGGTAGCTTGATGATTTAAGAATCAAAGTAAACAGAATTTTATGATCTGAATAGACAGTCTCATCAAGCGATTAATAACTTGCTATACTCATTTATTCAACAAAGATATATTGAGTACCTTCCCTGTGCCAGGCACTGTTTTAGCCACCAGGCATACAGCTGAGTACAAGGCACCTATCCCTGAAGGCATTCTAGAGGCAGAACATAAATAAGTACAGAGGTAGTAAACAACTAAGTGAACAAGAAAAATAGCAGGTGATGATCACGATCGTGCAGAAAATTAACAACAGTAATTTGTTAACAGGTGTCTGGCTCTCCTGTACTGGTCCATAGATCTAAAACCTCATGCCCTGAGGCTATCAGAGTGTCAAATTCTTCCTCTTTACTCTTTTTGCTCAGGTTATGAGGTCACTTGTATGTTTTAATAAACTGAAGGCCACTTTATTTTAAATTAGTTACGTTTTAATCTTCTTGACTAGATTTGGTGGAAATGTCAATCCAAGAGGGATTTAGGGAAACCTCTAATCTAATCAACAGCTTAATTATAATGCCTGGGCCAGTGCTGCAGATGGTTAATTTCAAACATTTTATGTTGCTTCCTTTTAGCTTCAGTTTTAGAGGGTACCATTTTCCAGTGTGTCCCTAAATTCTGAGAATGTACCATTTGAGGATTTTTACCAGCTTTTGGAAACAAAGACTAATAACATCTTCACATTGAAACTCTTTGCCTAGGGCCAGGGCTTCTCCCAAGTAAAATGCACATTAACACATATCTTTGTAAACTCTTCCTTATAATTCTGTAATCTGCCCCTGAATAATGAAATGGAGAAATCCTGGAATGTCCAGTCAGAAAATATGGGTTCGAAACCAGATGTTTGGCTCAGCTGTGGACCAACTCTTTGATCTCGTAGTCAGTCACCTAATCCTTGCTGATTCTTTTGGAAAGCCCACTTCTTGGGGCGCTGAACGTGAGGACTGAGTGAGAGTGTGAATTTGAAAGCCAACTCTGAAAACGCTGGCTATGATAGTTATTCTGATTGGAAGGGCCATTAAGGTCAATGGCAATGCTCCTTTTGTGATCAGTTACAAGAAAACAAATGGGTCATTGTGACTGTGGGGAAAAGAAGCAGAGGCAGACACAAAGCAGGCCTCTTCTGGAAAATTAGCCGCTGAAAGGGAAATAAATACAATCTGTAAAGTTACATTTCAATTCAAAAAGAAATGTGGATTGTATGTAATGGTAAGAGGAGTACTAGTAATAATATACGGCTAACATTCATTAAGCACTTACTCTGTTCCAGTCATAGGGGTCAGAACTTTGCATGTATTAGCTGTTCAAATGAGGGGAGGGGAGAAAAGGAAAGGAAAAGTTAAGCTAATAAATAATATGAAGTTGAAAAAAATTACCACGTACACAACCTGCACTATCCTGTCCTCCTTCCCGCCCCAGCTCTTTGTATATGTGGTTTCCAGACCCATTTCTCAGAGGCTTGGTGTCTTTTGCAGCCCTTTGGGCCCCTTCCGCCCATTGTTATCTAATCTCCCCTTCTCCGCCACGCAGGAAGGTCCAAGACCTCCCCTGTCTCCCAAGACCCGCCCACCCGAAGCCTTCGGAAATAGCTCTCTCATACGTTTGTGCCAGCATTTTATGCAGTAGGCACATGTTGCCCTTAACGCTGAACTGCAGGTTAAAAATGTATTCCACTAAACTATGCAGCGGTTAGCTGAGCAAATAATAAAAACCCAAAAGAATACATTCAATACATGTAGTTGAGAATATATCCTTTTGGAAAGCAAAACATTTCTTTTGCTTTTTTTTTCTTGCTTGCTTGCTTGCTTTTTTTTTTCTTCTTTTTTGCCCCAAATAAGACTAGAAATGGATTGCTCCATTTAAGACTTCCATTAATAAACTTCTCAGAATATGAATGTCTCCAATATATGGGGACGCTGGGGTGAAAGGTGCCGGATGATTCTCATTGGTGCGGGCGCTGGGTGCAGGAGGAAATATGCTAATGCAGCCGTTTGCCGCAGGGCTGGTGTTATTTATATAGCGCCGGCTGGGCAAGGTTGGCGCTGGAGCAGGAGAGGAGGGAGAGGTTTGTCTTCTTGTGTGAGAGTACAGATGTGTGCGCCTGTGCACACGGCGTTCCAAACGTGAATCCAAGATCTTGGGGAGGGGGTGGGGAATGCTATCACGTTTATATTGTGTGTGTTATAACAACTTGTGTTGGAGATCTATCCCAGCATCGTGCTTATATCGCATTCACTTAGGAGTGGGGGAAGAAATGGCGATTTGGGAGTGGGTGCGGCTGGTCGCGGGTGGTCAGACGCTGCGGGGGACTGGCGACCCGAAATTGGCAAAGGCGCCTCCTTGACCCTGCTCCACGGACACAAAAATCAACCTTATTTGCTCCTGGAAAAAGCGCAGAGGGTTGTTCCTAAAGGCCGGAGACCCTCGGGCTTGGGACTAAGAGCGGGGCGCGGGCAGCGGGGCGGCCAGGCGCCTCTGAAGAGACAGAGGTCACGGAGACCCGGCGCGCGCGGGGTGGGTGGAGGCACCGTGAGGCTGCGGGAGCCCAGCCTTCGTAGAAGACCCAGCCCACAGGTTCCCAGCGCACGCCGACTTCGACTGGACCCCTCACCGGCCCGCGCCCGCTGCTCCGCGCGCCTCCTCCTCCCCAGCCCTGCCGGGCTCTAAACGAGCACTGGCAGGAGATCCTCCGGCCAGGCGGGCCCGGGGTGTCCCGTTTCCCCCGCCCCCCGCCCCCCTCCCTTGGATCCCGGGCGGCGGCAGCGCGTCCGGGCTGGAGGGGGCGCTCGCGCGCAGGAGCCGAGCGCAGCAGGTGCCGCGGTTACCTCCACCTCGGCGGGGGGAGAGGGGGCGGGCCGGGGGGCAGGGAGGAGGGGAGGAGGAGGGAAAGGAGGAGGAGGAGGGAGGCCGGCTCCAGGAGCCGGAGAGCGCGGCCGGCTCGGCAGGCTGGGTCCGGAGCTCGCGGCTTCCGGGAGGCGCCCGAAGTCGGAGAAATACAGCGCGGCCACCCGGGGAGCAGCAGCAGCTGCCCGCACCGCCGCCCGCACTGCCGCCCTCAGGGCCCGCAACCACCTACAAGGGCGCGGGTCGGGCGCCGCGCCGGCTCCTCCTCCTGCCGCGGCCGGCGCGGAGCAGCGGAGAACGGCGGGTTCGGCCGCCGGCGCCCGGGCCGCGGAGCCGATGAGCCGCGGCGGCTGAGTGCCCGGTCGGCCTCTGCCCGCCTCTGCCCGGCGCCCGAGCGGGGCCGCAGCGCCCGGGGCGCGGGGTCCGGCGGGTGACATGGGGGCGGCCTGACGCACCCGGGGCCGCCGAGCGCTCTCTCGAGCCGCGGGCCCTCCTAGGCGGCGGCGGCGGCTGCAGGCGCCTGGTTCGGCGCGCTGTGCCCGGGGCGCCCGCGGAGCCTCCGCCGCGCTCTATGCGCCTCTGCGGGAGCCGCGGGCCCGGGCCATGGCCATAGACCGGCGACGCGAGGCGGCGGGCGGCGGGCCTGGGCGGCAGCTGGCCCCGACCGAGGAGAACGGCTCCCTGCCTCCCGGGGACGCGGCGGCCTCGGCGCCCCTCGGGGGACGCGCGGGCCTCGGCGGCGGCGCGGAAATCCAGCCGCTGCCCCCACTGCATCCTGGAGGCGGCCCGCACCCTAGCTGCTGCTCGGCGGCAGCGGCCCCGAGCCTCTTGTTGCTGGACTATGACGGGTCGGTGCTGCCCTTCCTCGGGGGCCTGGGCGGGGGCTACCAGAAGACCCTCGTGCTGCTCACCTGGATCCCGGCGCTGTTCATCGGCTTCAGCCAGTTCTCGGACTCGTTCCTCCTGGACCAGCCCAACTTCTGGTGTCGCGGGGCAGGCAAAGGCACCGAGCTGGCGGGGGTCACCACCTCAGGCCGGTGGGGAGACATGGGCAACTGGACCAGCCTCCCCACCACCCCCTTCTCCACTGTCCCCTGGGAGGCCGCGGGCAACCGGAGCAACAGCAGCGGTGCGGACGGAGGCTACACACCACCCCTGCCATCCCCTCCGGACAAGGGGGACAACGCCTCCAACTGCGACTGCCACGCGTGGGACTACGGCATCCGCGCCGGCCTCGTCCAGAACGTGGTCAGCAAGGTAAGGGCCGCGGCCGCCCGGTCCCTCCGACCCTCTCCATGCAGACCGAGGTCCAAGCCCTAGGCAGCTGGAGACCCAAAGTCCCCAAAGTGGTAGTGCTAGACTGTGTGTGCGGGCATTCCGCATTGGCTTCGTCTCCTTCCGTCCCCCAAACCGCAAGCCTTTACTTGGGCTTAAAGGGAGCACCATAGCCTTTCCTAGTTTGCACCCAAACTCCTGTCCCAGTACGCGGATGGAAAGCGCGCCCTTCCCCCCACCTTCAGGGTGAGGCAGCTGACCTGTCACCAGCCCGCCCTGGAGGACTCGCCTTGTTCAAGGTTTCGGGGGGAGCCGGGACCACGGCTCTGTACTGCCCGGAGAGTTGTTCCTGAGTCTCCCACAAAGCAATAGTTTCCCATCTCACACTTGATTCTGACACAGGTAAAGCCCCCTAAGAAACAGGAGTGAGAGCCAGAGAAGCGAAGACTTCTGCAGATCTCCAGCCCGCAGCCCATGCTCAATCCTCCCCAAAGATATCTGACTTTAGACTTTGGTACCCTAGTGTCTCCTCCAGTGTTTTCTCAGTGCTCCAGTAAACATCACTTCAGTATGGGAAGGAGGCAGAGAATATGTCATTTGGGTGTTCCCAGGCCGTCACCGCTCTTACACAGCAGCGGCTTTTGGTTGAGGGACTGAGAACGAGGTGTGCTTTAGCTGAAACACACACCTTGTCCTCTGAGTCGTGCAGCTAAAGCTCCCTTGCAGAGGTATTGCATTGTGTGAAATGTAGCAGAAGGGAGCTGTGAGGCAAGTGTGAAGGCCTAAACACAGAGAGTGGGCAATGGTGGGCACTCAATGCCCTAGACAGCTATAATTTTATTCTTAACATATAAGAGATGTCAAGACACTTGTAGTTTTGCTCCTTCTGTGTTTAAAATAATTAATTCACATTTTAAAGTACATAGAGACTCTCCCTCACCCCTACTCCGGAGAGTTTTAAACGCTTTGTCTAAATGTGAGTTTGAAATTGGACAGTTTCAAATAGTCCGTGTGCATGTAACCTCCTCCCCCCATGTGCATTGGTAAACAGTTGTAGCTCATGGATGTGTAAGATGAAACTCTTACATCATCATAATCATTGTTTTAATCTTGTACCAACCTGGCCAGAAATGCTTTGTCCTGTGGGAACTGGCTGCCTAGGCTGCCCCTTCTGCCCTACGAGGTAATGGGGAAGGTCCTTCTAGCTGGGTTCTTCTTGATCCCACCGACCCCCGCCTTGCTTTCTAAAGGTGTTTCTGTGACTGTTTTCCCTTCACGGAGGGCAATTTTCTTTTTCGGTTTAGCAGCACAGAAAAATTAATGTGCTGCTAATTAATTATTTAAAAATTAATAAATCCTCAGTCTGTCAGACATACACAATGACTATTTAAATCATTGTGTATGTCTGACAGACTGAGGATTTGGCAGCATTGTTAAGTATTTTAAGTCCCTTTCTGGAGCACAGGGAGAATAATGGATCAAAGTGAGTATGTGTGAAGAGTGCTCTGTCCTGGGGTCAAAGCAGAGGTGAACTTGAAAGTGATGAGGTGGGATACAGTGCCATTACCTTGGCAGTGAGGACCCAGGAAACAGCTATTCACACTCAGCCATGCATGGTGGGAGGAGAGGACAAAAATAGTTTTTAAAAGCAGACTATGGAGGCATATTGGAGAGCTGGGCAGTTTTTCTAAATTAGCACTCGAGAGGGGCGCAGACAGCACTCATGTGTGTGGCATGTTTTGGGCAATGCTTGATGACATGTTGCAGTTTCTGGGCCAGACTGAGAGGGAAAACCTGGGAACAATAATTAGAGACACATTTTCTTATACAGTAAAGCCTAGAAAGGACGTATTGATTTTCGCAGACAAAAAAGATCTAAATAAAGGACTGCTTTCCCAGTGTTCTGTGTGTTTCAAGCACATAACAAATGCTTCAAAGAGCTTTTCAAGCACATTTTGGCACGTTGGAAGGCAGACTTTTCCTATGCTGCTGTGTATGTTGAATACCGTATCAGAAGCACAAATGTGAGGTGTATACTATGATGAGTGCCGGAGTTCTAGGGGCCAGGTGCCTGTCAGCCCGCGTCCCAGGTAGAAGCAGAAGTGGAAGGAGCCTTTGCCTTCTGTCAGTAGATGAAAGCTTAGTGTCTGAGATGTCTTTTGTGCCTCCTTCCCGCTCCATTCCATGAGTGTTCCCTTGCAAATAATCCTCATGCCGTCTTCAGTATGTATCCCGTATTTAGCCTATAGCCTTTAGCATGTGTGTGCCCCTGCAGTCTATGCACTATTCTGTCCCTAGGTGCCAGATAGGGAGAGGAAGACAGAAGAGCCACCAGGCACAGTTCTGGACTTCCTTCTCATGTGGCTGCTGATATCCAAGCACCCACCTACACATGCAAAACTATCAAGCCAGTTAGAATCCCAAGTTATTGTAGTTAAAAGGGATCTTAGGGCTAACAATCCTCTCTCCCCTTCTGCATGATATCCCTGACATGAAGTTACCCATCCTAGTTTGAACACTTCCATCGATGGGAAGGGAGTGCTTTGTTAACGAGGCAGCCCATCCCATAGTTGCTCTTCCTTGCAGAGAGGCACACTTTTTGGTAAATAAAACTCAGGTTAACTCAAGCCTATTTGTGCTGCTTGTTCCTCAGAATAATTTTTTTTTTTCTTAAATAAAAGATGTTTTCAATAGCTTCTTTCCTGGCTGAAAAATCTACGGTACTTAAGCAATTCCATACATGCAAAAATTTGCCATACTTATCCCTCTGCTTGGCATGCGTGTCCCTTACACATAGCACCCAGAATGCAACCCAGCCAGGCCGTGTGTGTTGGAACCCAAAGAGGGGACCGATGGATGCTGTCCTTCATCTCCTACAACCTAGAGTTGATGCCTTAGACTTTAACTAGACATGACGTGCTTCCATCTCCAGATCAAGATCGCCCAACCCCCCACGTCCTTTTCCTGGGAGTGGTGGATTAAGTCAGCATTTTCTCAGTTCTAGGCTCATGTAGCATGGCCATGACTTAGGTTTCATCTTAATAATTTTGAGTTTCTCGATCTCTCCTGTTAGGATCGCTTTTGTTTTTATTTTTTGCGTTGGTCCTTGTTATCTATACCAGAATTTGCATTGCAGAATCTGCCATGCCTTCAAAATAATGACAACAATAATATCACTTTTCTTTTGTGCAGCCCTTTATAGTTTATAAAATATTTCATATATATTATTTTCTTTGAATAATAACCCAAGGCCAGTCTCCAGTATTTATTTTTATTTATTTATTTATTTATTTTTGAGATAGGTTCTGGCTCTGTTGCCCAGGCTGGAGTACAGTGGTACGATCACAGCTCACTTTAGCCTCCACCTCCCAGGCTTAAGTGATCTTTCTGCCTCAGCCTCCTGAATAGCTGGGGCTACAGGCATGAACCACTACACCTGGCTAATTTTTATTTTTATTTTTATATAGAGACGGGGTGTCTCTATATTGCCCAGGCTGGTCTTGAACTCCTGGCCTCGAGCAGCCCTCCTGGCTTGGCTTTCCAGAGTGTTAGGATTACAGGTGTGAGCCACCAGCCAGCCTCATAGCAAGTGGTAATGATGGATTTTCAGTCAGTGAACACACATTTGAGTGAGCTACCAGCCAGACTAATAGCAAGTGACAATCATGGATTTTAAGTCAGTGAACACACCTTTGAGTGTGCCATGTGTTCTACACAAGAACCAGGCACAGATGTTCCTCTCCTTAGGAGGGGGTTGTGTCTTGTGTCCAGATAAACCCCTCATCCCTTGGAAATATTGAAAGTTGAAAATGCATTTAATACACCTAACCTATTGAATATGCTGGCTTCTCCCAGCCTACCTTAAATGTACTCAGAACACTCACATTAGCCCACAGTTGGGCAGAATCTTCTCACACAAAGCCTATTTTATAATGTCTTGAATATCTCGTGTAACTTATGGAATACTGTACTGAAAGTGAAAAACGCAATGGTTGTATACTTCGAATACTCATGCAACCATTGCGTTTTTCACTTCTGGTGAATAAAGCGGCCCTTACTGATACGGTTTCTATTGAGTGCACATTGTATTCACACCATCATCAAGTCGAAAAATCATCACCTCGAACCGTTTCAAGTCAGGGACCATCTGTGTTCAACTTTCTGATGATTCTCATAAGCTCTGCATTTTCTCTCCCAGCTCTGTGAAAGGTATTGTCAGTGCCTTGCAGAAAAGAAGAATCAAATTCCTTCCAAGTCACATAGACAGCAAGGTTTGGGGATCTAAGGACTGCAGCTCAGCTCAGTTGCTTCCCTCTCCCACACCAGCATTCCCTGCGCAGCCCAAATTCTCAGATACTTCTGAGATTTTAGTCAACAAAGTTAAAAACAAAAAAACTCCATGGACTTGCAAATATTGCTCTTAATCATTTGCACTGGCTGTGTGAGGTAGCTCATGCCTGTAATCCCAGGACTTTGAGAGGACTAGGTGGGAGGATCATTTGAGATCAGGAGTTCAAGACCAGCCTGGCCAACGTGGTGAAACCCCATCTCTACTAAAAATACAAAAATTAGCCAGGCATGGTGTCACACACCTCTAATCCCAGCTACTAGGGAGGCTGAGGCAGGAAAATTGCTCCAGCCTGGAAGGAGGAGGTTGCGGTGAACGAGATCACTCCACTACGCTCCAGTCTGGGCATCAGAGTGAGTCCTTGTCTCAAAAAAATAATACTTTGCACAGTGTATCCTACATTGTTGTGAGTGAATCTGTTGGTTTCTAATACTCGTCACTTTCTTGAATAATCTCTAGAATTTTGCCAATAATCCATGCTAGCTGACCTGCCCAAGCCCTGTCTTTTTCTGTATTTGAAGTACAGGATATTTGTCCAACTCCAATCTTTTGATAGTATTTCTTCTGTTGTCAAGAATTTGCAAAGATTTCTGACCTTTATCCTGAAAGTTGCTTAAATATCCTGGGAAGTAAT